CTACACTTAGGAAGGAACAATCTGTTTCACACATACAGAATGGGAAGCAACTGTCTAGGAAAGAGTCCTGCAGAAAAGGGATCTAGGGGTCATAGTGGCCCACAAGCTCAATATGAGTCAACAATGTGATACTGTTGCAAAAAAAGCAAACATGATTCTGGGATGCATTAACAGAAGTGTTGTGAGCAAGACACAAGAAGTCATTCTTCTGCTCTACTCTGCGCTGATTAGGCATCAATTAGAGTATTGTGTCCAGTTCTGGGCACCACATTTCAAGAAAGAGGTGGAGAAATTGGAGGAGGTCCAGAGAAGAGCAACAAGAATGATTAAAGATCTAGAGAACATGACCTATGAAGGAAGACTGAAAGAATTGGTCTTGTTTAGTTTGGAAAGGAGAAGACTGAGAGGGGAGATGATCGCAGTTTTCAGGTATCTAAAAGGGTGTCACAAGGAGGAGGGAAAAAATTGTTCTCCTTAGCCTCTGAGGCTAGGACAAGAAGCAATGGGCTTAAACTGTAGCAAGGGAGGTTTAGGTTGGACATTATAAAAAACTTCCTGTCAGGATGGTTAAACACTGGAATAAGTTGCCTAGGGAGGTTGCGGAACCTCCATCACTGGAGATATTTAAGAGCAGTTTGGACAGACATCTATCAGGGATGATCTTGGTCCTGCTGTGAGGGCAGGGGTCTGGACTCGACCTCTCAAGGTTCCCTTCCAGTTGTCGTGTTCTATGATTCTAAGGTTATGAATAACTGAAAACAGGCCCTTAAAACAGGAAATGGTGATGAACCTTAATAAAAGGGGATGCCTCCATCCCATTTGTGATGATATACAGGTACACTATAGTTTAATAAAAACGTTAAACACAGCAGAAAGCCTCTAAGTAAATTGAAAGCTCTTACTACACCTTCCTACTTATGGGATAGTTGCTAGACAAGAAACACTAGGAGATGTATATATAACAAATTTTTTTTTGCTGTGGGAGTCTCCATTTTGTGTCTCTTGTCCTAGGACTTTGCTGCAGATATTAGGGAACAGCTATGCAAAAGGGACTTGACTGACCAGTAGGGGGTACTATAGTATCAGGAGTGAGGCGCACCAATAGAACAGAGTATAGTAGGTCAAGGCCAAAGAGCAAGGGGAAGCTTGCACTGTGTCCTTTCAATTCTTGTGCCATCACTCAGCCCCATATGTTCTACCTGCTCAGACAGGCTCTCATAATCCCTCCTCCCACCAGGGAGATCTAAGTAGCAAATGGACAAGTTGACTTGAATAGCCATTCAAACTATAGCAAATCCGAATCTCTGGCCAGCCTTTCTTCTCCCACAGTCATTATGGAAGGCTGCACCATTGTGTGTTCCCACAGCATGATGCACACTTCTCTGGGAAAGTGATGGTAACAGCCACCAATGGGAGTGGAAGAAGGCAGCAGCAGGGGAGCAAGAATATTTGTACCACACAATAGTCCCGCCCCCCCTCACGGGATCTGTTTTTTTAGTCCCGCCCCCCTCACCGGATCTGTTTTTTTGCTGTCTTCCTACCCCACAATCAGTGCAGGGAGAACAGATAACAGTTTCACACAGAAATGGTTAAGTGCCCTAGGGGAAGAAGAGTCAGAAACCACTGCCCTACCCCAGCACAATCAGGACAGTTTGGCTCCCTGTCCTGTCTGTAAAGGGAAATTGCTGGCCCCCTCTCCCAACAGGAGCACATCTTGAGCAGAAGAAGGGGACAGGTCTACCATTCAAGCAAGTGTGAAAAGGAAACTAAACACTGGCAAGCGTCTATGCAATAAAGGTTTATTACCGGACGAACAGGACAGTTGAAGGCTGTTAGTGCACTAACTGCAGGAGGGGCCGAGGATGTAACTGACTTTCTACATCACACCCAATTCAGCAGCAGACTTCCCCAGCTGAAACCCAGCCGCTCACTGGCCTGTAGAAAACCTCCCCCAGCAGCACTCTCTCCAAACAGGAAGGCACAAGGAACTACCGAACAGGATTTACGTGCAGGGGGAGATGGGAATAACGCAGAGGAAGTTACTCACGGCAAACTAGATATTTCGGGAGATACTGGTAACAGGCAAAAAGCAGTTGAGCTTTTCTCAACACCGTGGTGGCTCAGGATTATGAGCCTGGGTGAAGAGTTGCTGTGCTACCTCTCCCCATCCCCATAGGCAAGGTCTGTTTAAATCAGTGGTCACTCCCCCTAGTTAGTCCTCTCCTCCCACCAAACAGACAGACATGCACACTCTGAATTCAGGCTCTGCCTCCATTCAATGAGTTCTGGGGATCCTCTGCTACACCCCTCCCCTCAAATGCTGGGATCTTCCCCTCCTGCTATTTAATTCCAGGACCCCTCTTCTCTGCAGCACTCCGTTGCCCCCATGGACTACACAGGGGTTCCTACACCTTCCAATTTCATGACAGCCAGTTTAAACTATACCTTAGAGCACTGGTTCTCAATCAGGGTCCAGGCCTCCTGGGGAACTGCAAGCAGGCTTCTGAGGATCTGCCAAGCAGGGCCAGTGTTAGGCTCACTGGGGCCCAGGGCAGAAAGCCAAAGTACCTCTGCATGGGGCTGAAGCCCAAGCCCCCGAGTCCCATCACTTGAGCTGAAGCAGAAGTTTGAGCAACTCAGTATTGTGGGGCCACATGTGGTATGGGACTCCAGGCAACTGACCTGCTTGGTAACCCCTAATGCTGATCCTGGGATTTATATGCAAAAGAAGTGTCATTGTGCCACAAGTGAGCTGTAGAGTTGTAACAGCATATTGGGAAAGCCCCAGAAAGAAAAAAGTTGAGAACCCCTGGCTTAGAAGCAAAATATTTGAGTATAGAAGGAAGAGCTGCCTCGTAACGTAGTGCTGGGAGTACAACGCATGTCAGTTCTACAGGTTTAAAAAAAAAAAAAAGTTAAACTAGTGAGGCATCAGCATATGAAACAGCACAGCTGAAATAGCCTTCCCAAAGCAATGCTGCTACTTCCCCACCCCAGAGCCTTAGCAGGGACTCCCCGGCACAAGTAAAAACCCTTCCTGGAATTTCCTCTTGAAGGCTTCTTGGCCTGAACAAGCCAAATACTAGTAGCAAAACCCAAAGTGCTTATGTCTAGCCATTCGTTTGGTGCTGCTTCCAGTCTGTTTCATCACAGGAGACAGCAGGAAACAGCCAAAACAGGAATTTACCTTGGGATTTTTCTCTTTAAACATGTAAAAAAGCCACTAGGCCAATTCAGTGGCTGAAAAATGCCAAATATCCAACTGGAGCGGTGAAAACATGCAGCAGCCAGCACAATCCGAGTTTCACTCTCTCTGCACATGGCCTTTCAGGAGTGCAAAAGAGTCTACTGGTATCAGAACAGAAAGGCATGGAACCCCACTGGAACACACTGGTGGCAAGGAGAGTTTCCCCAGGGGACTGCAAGGCTCTGGCTAGTCATTGCGGGGCAGACACTGCAGAACACACAAAAAGCCTCCCAGTGCATGACACAGAATCCACAAACAAGACAACAGCACTGCACCTACTAGCCTAGACCCAGGCCAGGGAAACCGCACTGAGCACCTGCTGTGCTGACAGCATTTAATAAGACGTCAGTGGAGTTGATGGCTGTTTGCTAATTTGTTTGCCTTGTTCCTTCACACAAGACTGGACAGAGCGCTGATTTAATGCAGGACCCTGCTGTGGAAGGAGGGAGAGAATTGGTTTGATCCATTAATATGCTCTTATTTGGGGGTATAGGAGCTGTCACTCTATTACTGAGACACTTCACCAAGCCCATCCTGACCCCTCTGTTAAAGCTGGCTCAACATCAATTTCCTCTGCTGACCTGCTGTAAGAGTTTCTAAGTCCCTTGGCACCTCCAGAGGAAAAGCATCAGAGATCTGCGAGTCAAGGAGAAATAAGCAGCAAGCATTCAGGAAGAGAACCAAGAAAAAGGAAAGATAAAAATAGAGAACCAGCTAAGCGCATCAACATTAACCCAACTTCCAGCATCTATTAGCCTCTCCCCACTCCCTGGGGGAAATTCAACAAGCGGAACACTCTGTCAGCAGCACTCAAGTCCCACTGGTCCTCCCCAACACAGACTGACACTCCATCCCACCTAGTCACATGCTAATAGCAGCTCTACTGTCAGTTAAACAGCTCCTTCACCGTTAACCCTGCTTTAGCACAGTGCAGCTGGTAAAATGATGGCATCACTGGTTGGGCAAGGCACCTATCCCTAACTGCAAAGAAGCTTCCCATTTTCAAGGACAGCGCTTCTTACTTGCAGCAGAAGGGCCTCTGTATGGGTCACAGTCTACTACGGTGGTAAATTCTTAACCGTGTTCCCTAAAATGGCCTTGCACTGTGTCACACCAGACCCCCGTTGTATAAATTACTCTATCCACTGGTGATCAGGAACAGAGAATACTCTGAAGGGAAAACTATTCGAGAGAGAGAGAGAGAGAGAGAGAGAGACATGTGTTGAGCAGGCAAGGGGAGGGAAGAGAATAAGGCGCTTGAGAAAAATGCAGACTGCTTCCACAGCAGATTTTTTGGATGCAGATTGAGCCTTTTGGAGTACCAAGGCAGCTTACGTTAGGGCTATTCTACACTGCACCCAGGAATGAGCCTCCGAGCCTGGGTCCACAGAGTTGAGACAATGTTCTCAAAATAGTGTGTGCTTTGATGAGCTTAACGTGTCGAGCCCACCTCCACTGGCTTCAGAACTGGAGCCATCATCATCTACTGGCCTCATCTGAATGTTCTGGAGCAACCCTGTTGACTTTTGCCATGTCTCCTTCATGGGCTGAGATAAGACCTCATATAAAGTGAGACTTTTCTGCACTTTTCCTTTGACAGCTAAGCCTACGGGAACCAAAGGCTAATCTGAAAGCTTTGAACAAAGGCAGACTACGTGTGATAAATTGGTAACTGGGTGCATGCTACTACTTACTGGGTGGCAGATCAATGCCTGCTCCATTCTCCACCCATAGGAAGCAGCACAGCACTCACCTGCCGGATAGACATGGTACAGAGAATGTAGAGGAAGATGAAGGAGCAGTCAGTGTAATCCTCCCCCAGCAGGTTGCGGTGAGACAGGCCCTGGATGTAGGAGAGGGGAATAAAAGGAAGTTTTGCCACCACTCGGCCGTCAAATCTGGAGGGGAAAAAAAAAAAAAAATAGATGACTTAGCGTGAGAAGCCGAATAAGCACCCAGCACAGAGAAGTGGTACTCAGCCTGGATTGCAGAAAAACAGATGTAAGGGTTTACAATCAATCAATCAAACAGGCCTCCAAGAGGACAAAGCCCGATACAAGAGCAAGTCAAAAACCTAGAAAAGTCACATTGCTTCACCTTCATGTGCACAAAACCAGAGAGACTAATATACGTACACACCTGCCATCCTCACACCACCACATCACAACGGCCAGTCATCCACTGGCTGCACTGTGCAGGCCTCCCTCATCACATGCTGTGCAATGACAAGGCGTCCCTCCTGGAGGCCAACCTATCAGGGATTAATGGTTGGATAAATTGCTGACAAAGGTTTGTGGGATACAGACTAGGAACTTCCTAATCAACATCCTCAAGTTCTGACACCTGCTTTTTAAAAGCCAGATCAGACATAGGCTTTTCCATGTAACACTCAATTATCCTCCTGTTACTTTACCCCTGCTCCTCTCTCAGCCCTACAGTTACTTTATGTAGACTGGTGGATTTATATACTAGAGGGGTGTGCATAGAAAACAAACTGAAGCCCAACTCTGTTTTTTCAATCTGCTGCATTTATCAGTAATCAAAAGGGATGTGGGCACCTGCCCTGGAAAGATTCCTTTTAATACAATATTCTCTCTCTGCATTCACTCTTCAGAGCAGGGGCGTTAGATATTCAAAAGGTACTTGTGCAGCTCTAGGAGGCGGGAAGCATTCAGTACTACATTCTAGAGCTGGAGTGATGGTGTGAATTTGAGCAGACTAGAAGAGATTCAGCTTCACAAACCAGACCACCAATATGACCCTTTGAAGCAGTGCATGTACCATGCTGCATCAGCGTGCACTCAGAGCGTGAAGTTATTTTTTCCTCAAGTGCTGATTTTCTAACAGGTGTTTCTGGTTTCAAAAGCTTCTAAATGAGCATTCTTTCCTGTGGAAAGGCATTCCCACAGAGCTATGGCTCTACCATGTGCCGACTTCGCTTACACCTCACAAGCAGTTTGGCAGAAGGGCTAGGAACGGATGTTTGCCTCCTTGTAC